GGCCTCCCCGGGCTGGCGGCGCCGCCGGGCCTGGAGGACCTGCAGGTGAGGCCCCTTAGGGTCCGGAATAGGCCAGAACCGGCCGCGGTGGCTTAGGATCTGGCTGGAGGCAGAGTGCCCAGCGCAGGAGCCCAACTTTTCTCCCAGCCTGCCACTTCTTGCTTGTGACCGAGGGTGCGTCCCACGTCCAGGGTTAGACGCTGCCTGGCCTTTCAGGAGGCCTGGCCTTGAGTCCATGAGCCGTGCCTGGAAGGCGGTGACCCTTGGCTGAGTAAATGCGCAGGGGCTGAACAACTTCGGTCCCTCTCCGCTGGGCACGTAGGGCATCTATGCCCAGTCTGTGTTTGCTGGGGCAGCCTGTGCCTGGAGCCAAAAGAGGTGGAGGAGTTGCCTGTCTAAGGATCAAAATTCCCTTTTAGCATGGCACGGTGAGGTACCCAGCGCTCCAACTTAGCTGCAGATGGTGGAGCCAAGGCGAATCCTGGTCCCGCCCGTCTCTGCCGCAGGCGACGGGTGGTGCTCGCGTTGGGCGGAGCAGGCAGTACAGAGACCAGGGACAGCAGGGGCTTGGGAAACGACAGGAGATTAGGTCTCCAAGCGTCCGTACCACCACCCTGTTCTACTTGCAGGCCATGGATGAGCCGGGAATGAGCCTCCTGGATCAGTCCGTGATCAAGAAAGGTAAGGAATGGTGTGCATCTGCCAGGGCAGAACCAGGCGAGATGGTGCAGGCCCCAGCACACAGACACAGTTTCTTCCCTGTACCGCACGTCTCCGTGCGTCGCCAAGCTCGGTGGCCATCGGTCACTCTTCCCGGCCCAACAGAGGGGCAGTGGAGGCTGCGGGCCTGGCTAGAGCTTGGGCAGCTGCCCCGGTTGGTGAGTTGGCCCCAGAGCCTATGTCCTGGGGTGAGTCGGAGACTGTCTGCACCCACTTGGCTGCCCTGGCAGCCCAGCGGGGCAGGGGCCTGGTCTCTCCCTACCAAGGGGAGGGCGCTCTTGTGGATCTGGAGTTCATTTGCAAAACGAGTTAAACCACTTCTCTGTTTCCTAAGAGGCGGTAATGGCGGTGCTATTTCCATGGGTTTCGTTAAACGATTTCCACTTTACAAAGCCTTACTATTTCCTAGACTACTAGGTGATTTCTGCCCCTCTCTTCCCAGCAGGGCCTGTGGTTTCCATAGGGAATTTTTTTCTCCTTGTGTGATCTTCTTTCAGCATTTAGGGTTAGGGAAGCTGCTGTGTGAATACTGCGTTGGGCTGTGTGCAGGAGGCTTAGGGCTGGCCCACTCCTGGGTGTCAGTGTCCCTGTGAGTTTGGGATCATGTACTTCTGTATGTTCCTTTCCTAGGTTCTTTCTAGTATTTCTTGGTAAGTGTCTCTGTTACTGTGTGTGCAATGTGTGTCTGTTATGTTGTAAATTTCCATATGTTTAGGGGTCGCTATGTACGTGTTAGGGTCTCTGTTGTGTCCCAGAATTTGTTCTTTGACACTGAGGATCTCTAAGCATGTAGGGATGTAGGGTTGCTCCCTGTGTATTTTCGGGGTGTTGTGTCTCTGCGCCAGCAAAGGCTAGAGGTCTGAGATCTGCCTTCCAGTGGATTTTCTAACCTGAGGTCCGAATTCTGGATGTGACAGGGAAGGGTGAGAAAGACAGAGATAGATTTAGAGGGGCTCAGGCATCCAGCGGGCTCCCTAGATTTGGGGCCGGTGCCAAGGAGGAATTTGGAGGCGCAGACAAGCCGGCTGTGCCCGGGGCAGGCACCGCTCCTGTGGGATTTGGCTTGAGTTGTTTTTCAAAAGAGTGAATTCAAGCCTGGGCTCTTTTTGCCCTCCACGTGTTCTCAGGAGGGGTGGGGGGCTGAGTGTGAGGGTGGCAGGAGCTGGACTTACAAGCCCTGAGGTTGGATTACCTAGGGCTGAAATTAGCTGGAAGACCTGGGTATGTGTGGGGAAGATGAAGGGACAGGCCTCCTGAAACTTGGGGAAAGGGGGCTTCAGGTATTGAGGCTATTACCTGGAACTGGGGGTGTGGGGAGGATGCTGGGAACTTGGCTGCCTGGAGGCTGCCTGGAGTCGGGGCGGAGGTGTGCGCTGGGAGCCAGCTCTTTGCTGGCAGGCACTGCATTGGTTTCGTGGAATTTTTTTTTAACCCCACGGAAGGGAGAGCTCGGTCTGCAGTGTCAAGAGCCTGCCGCTGGGCTGCTTTCACCTGGAGATTCGACCGTGGTCTCAGCCCCCAGGTCCCCACTTCTCCCTGGTCTTGAGGGGCCAGGACCCTGCATTTTAGAATGGGGCTTGGGGACTTATGCCCTGGGTAAGGGTAGAAATATCAGTTGGGGCTCTGAGTACCTTTAACCCCAACCCCCTGGGCCAGAGCCAGGAAAAAAGACTGACTATGAAGAAGAATCAAAATTGCCTCGAATTGGTTTTTCTCAAAGGACATCACCTTTCATAAATCCCGGATCCTAGGTGTGCACCGGCATCCCCAAAAATGGTCCCAGTAACACGAATATGGCCGGAACTGCCCGAGTGCTGCGCGCTGGCTCCGGGGAGAAGGGGGTGGACATGGGCGCTGGTGCGGCGAGGGACGTCGCCCACGCGGGCGCGCACACCGGCCGCACAGCTGTGTCAGTACGTCGGTGGCCCAGTGGAGCACCGGCGACCTGAGCTGGGGACTGCTCTCTGGGGGGCCCCAACCTGGACGTCAGGTCGCAGCCTTGAGCAATAAAGCAAAATGGGAGGGGCAAGAGCCGGGGCTCCCTGCGGAAGGAAGCGCTGGGTTCCCGAGCCGCGAACTTGGCTTTCGGCTGGCAACGCGGGCCTTTGGCAAGGAGAGAGGGTCAGTGCGGCGCTTTCCGGCTTTGCAAACATGGAGGCAGAGTTGGTCCACCGAGGTTCCGACCTCAGAGGGTGCGCGGGCGAGAGATCGAACTGAGGCTAAGCAGGTGGCCCGGCCGGAGCCCGGCGCCCTGGAACCTCCACGGCCCGCGCAGCGAGTAATTTTCACCTGGGCCCTCAGCAGTCGCTGCAGGACTCCGGCCACGCCGCCCATCCCTCGGACGCCATTGATTATCACCCACCTTCGCCCTCAGGTCCTTCCGACGGCATCGGGAGCCCATGTCATGTCCTCAAGTCCTCTTGCACCTGCTAAGGGTTGGTGAGGGACCATCCTTTTCCGGCCCGGGCCTTGGAATTATAGAAAGTCGTTCTTGGCTAGCTTAAGTAAGGGATTCCTCCAGCTCCTCCCGGCTTTGGCTGAGGGGGAACTGTGTCTTGGGCGGTTGGGGTCCTGCATGTGAAACGGGGGCAGCCCCAACCCTACCCCAGAAACAGCCTTCCTACCTCAGGGAGGCCTCAGGCCTCGTCGTGAACAGTGCATCAGGGGAGGGGAGCCTGGAAACTCTAGGGACCAGATTTGGGTTGTAAAATCACTATCCCAGGCAGGGGAGGGGAGGCGAAGTCCTTGCCCTACCACACACTTCCAAGTCGGCAGCGTCTTGCAACCAGGGCGGGCGTGGGCAGGGATGGCAGTTGGGGCTGAGGCCCACACGAAGGGAAGCAAGGAGCCCTCGATTTTCTACACCCACTTGTCACTTCCAGTTTTGTGACCTGTCCTAGGGGCACAGAAAATAGACATGGCTGGAAAGACAGACATGGACAGGAATATTTTCAGCCCAGAAAGGCAGTGAACGGGGTCTGTACAGGTCGCAATGGGAGCTCAGAAGAAGAGCGGTGAGTGCCTGAGGTTGGGAGGCTTTCTGAAAGAGAGATTAGGACGGGACTCAGTGGGTGCTCCTTGGGGTTTGTTGAATGAATGTGTGATGGATTTTGAGGTCTGAGTGCATTTGGTGAGGCGGTGTACAAAGGGCCGAGCTATTTTCACCCCACAAGGCACAGCATGTGCATATGCCCTCGCTTTGGAAAGCCAGACAGGTTTAAAAAGGTTAAAAATCTCTGTGGTTTCAGATTATACAGTCATAGGTAGAGGGGAGTGGTTTGGGGATGAGAATTGCAATATTCCTCCTTCCCTCCTAGGAGAGTGGGTGGTTGCCTAGTTGGAGGCGGGGAATCCCTCTCTGCTGGGCTCCCTTGTCCATTCTCAGGGCATCTCCAGGGCAGGAGCTGAGGTAGATAGTCACCCTTTCCTCTGCTCACCCTGGCTCTGGGGAAGGAAAAGGGAGTGGGGAGGTTCTGGGCTTCCAAGTCAATCTCCAAGCAGGGATAGAACTGGGGTAAGTACTCACCTGGGGCAAGATTTAGGAGGGCATCTAAAAACTCAGTAATCAAAATAAATAATATATCTTAGTGCACTATTTAAATTTTTTAATGCAAAAAAATCACTATAAACAAAGTGTCAAAATTTTACATAAAGATGGAATCTAACCCTGCACTTCTGCAACCCTGCTTCACTTGCCTCCCAGGCTACCATCTGCCCTAGAATGAGACTAAAAAACCAATGCCCATGCAGATGGAGTGTGAACTGTACCTGAGGGTGGCATACAGCATACAGAGCAATGAAGGGTAGGAGCTATATTTAAAAGAAACTCTAGGGGAGCGAGGAGTGGGGAGGGGCAAGATAGAAGTGGGAGATTAAGAGGTATAAACTACTATGTGCAAAATAAATAAGCTACAAGGATATATTTGACAATACTTGGAGTATAACTAATATTTTATAACAACTATAAGTGGAATATAACCTTTAAAAAATGTGAATCATTATGTTGTACCTCTGAAACATATGATATTGTGCATCAACTATACCTCAATAAAAACAAATAAATAAAAATAAAAGAAACCTTCTAGCAGTTGACGAGAAGGAAACTTACCCAGCAGATCCCATTGAGGAAGAAGAGGAAACTCAAGCGGGCCTCCTGTCTGCCTTCTTCCTACTGTCCCTTCCCCCCAGGCTTTGGACCAGTAGTACCCAAAGTGTAATCTAAGGAGCCACATGCATCAAATCCCCTGGGGGTGCTTGTTTAAAAATGCAGATTTCCTGGGCACCATCCCACATCTACAGAATAAGAATTCCTGGCCCTGGAACTTCATTTATTAACTGATTGAAGTAAAATTTACATACCTGAAATTCACCCATTGGAAGAGTACAACTTGATGATTTTTAGTAAATTTAAAGAGTTGTGTAACCATTGGCACAATCTGTTTTGTTTTGTTTTATTGAAGTATAGTCAGTCAAATTTTGGCCTATAGCATAATGTTTCAGTCATACATATACATACATATATATGTTTTCATATTCTCACAATCTGTTTTAAGACATTTCCATCACCCACCTCCCGAATTCCTCCATTTCTGTTTGTAGTTAATTCCCACTCCGAGCCTTAGGCAACCACTGATCTGCTTTCTGTCTGTAAGTTTGCATATTCTGGTCATGTTATATAAATGGGACATATAAATATGTAGACTTCTGCATCTAGCTCCTTTTACTTATATTTCTGAAGTTCACCTGTATTCTGTACCAGCAGTTAATTCCTTTTTATTGCTTAGTAGTACTCCATTGTATGGATGTAATACATTTTGTTTATTCATTCATCAGTTGGTGGGCACTGGGCTTGCTTCCATTTTTTGGCTGTGATGAATAAGTCTACTATGATCATTCACACAAATGTCTTTGTGTGGACATACGTTTTCATTGCTCTTAAATTCCTAGGAGCGGAATTGCTG